ACTTATGACTTATCGCTGAAAAACTAGCTTATATGATAAAAGTGTTTGGTAAAATTAGCTGATAAGCTAGTTGAAATAAAAAATTCAACTAGCTTATTTGAAAAGCTACCTAAACAAGCTTATAAGATAAGCTCGAGCTTTTCAAAAAAGCTCATCTTACCAAACATGGCTTACTTGAATACAAGAAGCTTATAAGCTAACCAAATAAGCTATAAGTTAGTTTATTTGGTTCACCAAACACAGCCTAAATCATATCATGTGCATTGTTCGACTTAGTTTAATCTCGACTCTTATTTACCCTTTGTGCCATTGTTTTATTAATTTTTCTTAAGCGCTAAGTGTGATTTTTATTATATTTCTAAGTGTACTTTATGTAAATTTAATTGCTTAATTGAATTATTATGCGAATTATTTTCCTAAATTAATTATGGGACTATGTGAATTTTATTTTTCAAAGTGAATATGTGCTTTTATGGGTTATTTGGCAAGTAATTAATTGTACTTGTGTGTATGTCATTATTTTTCCTAAGTGTCCTGTTGCGTGTATTATTATATATTGTGTCTTAACCTTACACGCATGAGTTTCGTATGTTGTATGTGTATGATGAGAAGCGAGAAACCGGGGAAAGTTCACGAGAAAAACGGACGAACAGAGAATGGGCCGGGAGCTAGCCACGTCGCGAAGCATCACCTCCCTCACGCCGGGGAGATCTGCCGCGCTGTGGCGACTCCTTCCCCGCACGCTGTGACGTTCGTAACGGGCCATCAGAGACTTGGATAGAAGCAGCCTCCGCGCCGCGGACAAGGGCGGAGCCACCCATGGGCTAGGGTGGGCTCCAACCCCATATAAAAAAAAAAATTAGTTTACAACTTGATTTAAGTACACCCTCAACCCTTTTTAAAATATTATTTACAATAATGAAATAGCTCCTCAAGTAAGCCAAAACTACTCCTTTTGTTTTCATATTTTACGCCTTTTCAGTATCTGCTTTGTTTCCTTGTGGCGGTTTACTTTTTTATTTATTATTTTAAGCCTTAAATAACAACTTGTTCGGTTCATATCTTTATTCTCTCTTTCTTACAAATTTTTACGATGTTCTTATCTTCTTCTTTTTTTCCTTTTTATTCTTCATGCCAACGGCAAATTGGACCATTCTCCTCATCATCTCATGTTCGGATTCTGCCGAAGCCTGGAAGTTTTATTTATTTATTTTTTTTTTTAATTGTTTAAATTTTGAGTTGAAGAGGAAACAAATCTCACATAGAGGGGAAAGAGAGAAATTCTCATCTCTTCTGGAATGGAGGACCCGCCTAATGGTCAGCTAAATGAGTCGGTTCCCTCTTCACACGAAAGTAGTTTTTTTTTTTTTTAAACAATTTTAGTTGTTAAATTTTGAGTTGTTTTTCACTTTACGTAACTTCTTTTTTTTTTATTAAAATTTAATTTAAATATTTTTTTGCATTATCTTTTTCCTTTTATTTAAAGTTGAATTAATAAAGTCTTGTGTTTAATTTTTTTATAATCAGATTGAAACTGAACAAAAATAAAAAAGATGGTGTCGGATGGGAAATTACGGCCAGAAAGATGTAAAAAACAACCATCCACTTTTTTTTCTCCCTTTTTGATTTCTTTTGCAGGATTTTAGGGTCATTTGAAAAAGATTTGGTGAGTGGAAGGGTTATGCAATAATAGATTATAAATTTTTTCAAAGAGGCTTTGAATTCTGAAGTGTTGCTCAACTGTTATTTGCATGTTGCTCAACTGTTATTTGCATGTTGCTCAACTGTTGTTTTATTATTTTTTTGTTGTTTCACTTTATGTTGTTTTTTTGTTAATTTATTATTATGTATGTATAAAACTAATTGATTTTTTTTTATGTTTTCAGATTCTGTTTGAAGAAGAAAATAAGATAAAGAAAAAGAGATGAAGAGAAAAAATCGTGAAAGTACAAGGAAGAGAGAGAAGGAAAAAAGAAAGAGAGAGAAATGAGCAGTTAGAATTTTAATTTGAATTGATGTAACCTACTATTGGAGTATTTGTGGAATTCATGGTATGCTGTTTCTTTTATGGAATCTTCTTTTTAAATTGGGTGAGTTATGTATTTTGGCCTTACAACTTAGATTATTTTTGTCACAGCCCCATATAATTTTATAAATAGCCCACCCTATTCATTTGACCTAGCCCAACAAAAAAGCCCAACAAATTAGGAAAATAAAACTCATATTTTAGCCCCAACACATGTTGTATTGTCCAACATAAAAGTGTTGATTTTTTTCTTTGGTTTATAATGTAAATTAGAAATCTAGACCTCTGCTTATTAATCTTCTTTTCGTGCATGACTAGATCTCCAGGCTTTTCTCCTCTTGGCTGCGAATCCCTCCGCCACGGCCCCGGCTTCATGCCTCTTCGCCGCCAATCCCACCGCCACGGTCACGTGTTCACTCCTCCAAACTCCAGTCATCCTCGCCGGAATTCCTTGAAAAGATTGCACTCATTTTACTTCACCTCATGAATTATCCAAAAACGAAAAAAAAAATAAATAAAGAAAATTACTCATGGCTTTAAAAACTGGGGAAAAATAAAAAATAGCACAAGTTGTAGCATAAAAAATTAGCTACTTAAAAAGAATTGGTAGATGTCAAACTTTGGCAAAGAACAAAAAGTCCAACAACACTTAGTTATTAAAAGAATTGGTAGATGTCACAAAAAGAGTAAAATGAGAGCCAGATGTCACAAAATAATCATGTTTCTGCTTGCTTAAAAAACTGTGGTGTAAAATTTTCCATCCAGTATATTTGTTGTCAATTGTACATGCATAGTTGTCATAGTGATCCATTTATTCTCACTTATTTTTCATCTATCATATCCAAATATTAATTTAATAAAAACACATTACCATCATATCATATTGCAAATATATTATTCATGAATTCATTATTTTTTGTTAATTTGTTAGGTTTCAATCATATTGGAGGATCAACCAACAAAGAAAAGAAAGACTATCAATTCGTTCTTTAAGTCATTTTTTTAATTAAATTCTAGTATATTTATTCGATCTAATTTATTTAATTTATTTAATTTATTCTGCAGGTTAATTCGCTTTGTTTTAACTCTCCATGTGTCTACGGCAACTACAGAGCGAGCGTTTTTCTACTGTGAAGCTTGTTAAGACAATGCTTCGTAATAAGATGGAAGTTTTTGGCGGATTCAATGTTTATTTACATTGAAAGAGAGTTGGCCAAAAAAATTAGTAATGATGTTGTAATTACCGAGTTTGAGTCTAAAAAGAATTGGAGATCGCAATTTCATTAGCCCCGGGTAATTTTAAATCCTAGCTCCGCCCCTGGCCGCGGAGACCGTCTCTCCGCGACAGCTGCGGGAAGAGAGTGGTTATGGGGCAGTTTCCAGTAGTTTTTCATCAGTTTTCT